CAAAATAAACTTTTAATTGCCAAAAGAAAGTTTTAAAGTTTTATCTAGCTACAGGCTTTTTTTTTTTTTTTTGCCTCCACAGCAGCATCTTCTGAAGTAGCAGGGCTGTCTTGTTAAGTTTTTTCTTTATTAAGTTTCAGACAACTTTTTTTTCAGACCATCCGCAGCTTATTAGGACTAATTACATGAGCACATTAATAACATAAGTGTCTCAATTATCATAGATACGCAACATATTTTTTCTCCTAGTTATGTTTTTTTTTTTTTTTAAATGTTTTATGAAATTTTAGCTTTCTTAAAATCTTTTCTTTTGTGAGTGCATAACATCGTTACATATGTTTGTATATAATCTTTATAAAACTTCGAAAGTATTTTGTATTTTAAAATAATTAAAAAAATTAAAAAAAATAGCCGCCATTGGTAGGAGTCGAACCTCTAGCTCCTTGTTCAGAAGTTCGCCGCCTTATCCACTCGAGCTACACCGGCATATCATTATGTGTAGATTTTATAATAATGTAGTAATTTTTTAAGGAAAAAATTGTTAGATCAAAATTAAGGAGAGGTTGACACAATGTAATTTTCAAGTAAAAATCAAACTGTAAAACATAATAAATGTTTCAGTATGTTTTAACATTTGCTTTAACCTTACTTAGTTTAAAGTTTACGTACGTTAGATATTCGTTCACGTATTCTTATAGTGCTGCGACTCTTTCTTGCCAATACCTCGGTTGCAATGGCTGCCAAGGGTTTCGTGTCAAATACGCTCCAAGGGACACTACTATTAAGTTTGGCAATATTATATAGAAGATAGTTATACTATTAACTTATACTATTTTTAAGTTATTTTTTTCGGTTTAATCTTTTCTTTACTAACGTAAAACTGAAAATTATTAGATGAAACTCATGCTTTGTTTAGACTTTTTTTAAAGGATTTTAAAACATGAAGTAATTTTTTTTTCTGCATTAAGGTTTTTAAACATTCAGGGTTTCGATTTTCGTCAATAAAGGTTAGTGATAAACACTTCTGCGTTCACCATATTAATTTTTGTGTTTATCTACATACCATCGAGTAATTTATACAGTTATAGGCTATTTTTATTTTAGTTATTTTAAGGCTGTTTTTATTTCTTTATTTTTATGCTATTTTTATTTATTTGTTTATAGGCTTCTTTGTCTGTTCTAGCACTTTTACTGTTAATGTTGAAAACATAAATTAAAATTTTGCAATACTATGTAACTTGGCTCTGATTAGAACAATAATTTTACTAGTTTCTGTATTTTGCACGTTTTTATTAACTAAAAATGTATTTCATGAGATCTCACGTTTATGAGATCGGTTTACTGTTATTTGTCATATTTTACCTGAAGAAAAACAAGACAACTAACAGTAAACTGATTAAGTTCTACTTTGCCAATTCTATCTCTTTAAACTCTAGCAAGTTATCAGAGTTTTTGCGAACAAAATTGATGTCATTGCAAATACGGAGACGGTTTAAATTGTGTTCAATGATAAATGTTAGAGGCTATGCCTTTTTTTATTCAGACAGAAATATAAATGGTAGTGAAGGTGCGATTAATGTGAATTAAAACTTGAAAAATGTAGAAACTCTAAATCTTCATCTAAAAAATTAAAAGATTGAACAAATCTAGTTCCTAATATAATGTTAAAATTTTCATTTTATTATAAGTTGTATTTATCTACCTACACCCAAACACTCAAAGTCGATTCTACACTCAATTAAAACTGCTTTACAATTTAAAAGAAGAAATAGTTACACTGACCTGATATTGGTAGGTGATTCCAGTTTTATTAATATATAGTGGACTATTGACGGTCCAATAATTCTTTTAAATGAAAACTCATCTGAGCATGAATTCATTAAAGTTTTAAATAGCTATTTTTTATCCCAGATAGTAGACTTTTTAACGTTCAAACAAAGTGTTTCTGCGGTAGCAGTCAACAGCTTTCGTTTTCAATCCGAATCGCACAGATTTTCTTTAATGTGGTCTACAACAATGTCATTATGAAAAGGATATATGCCATTATCACTTGGCGATATTTTATTAAATTAGTAAAAATATAAGATTTAAAAGAATTAAACTTTACTATAAAAAAGGTAAATTTACGCAAATGATTAAGTATTTAAAACAAGTCTACTGGAATATAATGTTTCATGGTGAATCTGCGTGTAAACTGTTATATATATATATATATATATATATATATATATATATATATATATATATATATATATATATATATATATATATATATATATATATATATATATATATATATATATATATATATATATATATATATATATATATATATATATATATATATATATATATATATATATATATATTATATATATATATATATATATATTATATATATATATATATATATATTTATATATATACATCCCAGTAAGCGCAAAGACGTTTTAAAGATGTCTTTAAGGAGGTCTAAAAGGCGCACTTGTAGACGTCTAGATCATAAGGGTAAAAGACGTCTAAATGAAGACGTCTTTATAAAAACGCGTTTTAGACGTATTTTAGACGTTTTTTTTAAGATAAATTCAAGTACATGACGTAACATTTTCGCGTAGTATGTGGTATATATTCATTGTATTTATAAAATCATATATTGTTATAATTTCGTATATACAAGATATACAGAAGAACCAGCAATCAAAATAATATTGCTGTAATCACCACAAACGGTTGATGCATCAAGGATGAAAATAATATATAACAATAACAAATATATATCAAAACAGTATTTAAAACATTTATAACATACCTTTAGTTTTAGTAAAATTTAGCATATGTATTGCTAGCTAATTTTTGACCGCATACTTGAATTATTATATGGCTTGTGGGTGTATAAAAACTAAAAATACTGATTTTTAACTTATATATTATTCTTGCCATTTTCACTTATAATCATGATCAGTCAACTATCTATTAAAAAAGCAAAATAATTATTAATAAAAAAAAGATATATTAATATTATAGCAATTATTTTAGTGATTCCTGTGACAACAATTTTAGCAATTGTGTAAAAAAGTAATTTAATTTAAAGTAATTTACAGTTAAAACTTGAACAAATTATTGAAAATAATAAAAACTATGTTTTTACTTTGAATATACGACATCTACTTAACGCGTAATGACAAAGCCGTCAAAAAGAAGTCATAATGACATATTTATAAACAGGTCTCAGAAAAGACGTCTTTTAGCCTTGATCTAGACGTCTTTTAATGCGTCTTTTAAATGTCTTTTTAAACTTTAAAAAGACGCATTTTAAACGTCATTTTAAAAACGCCTTTTAAAAAGACGTCTAGAAGATATCTTAAAAATTGACGTCTTCTAGACGTCTTTTTATCTTTTAAAAAGACGCCTTTTAAACGTCATTTTAAAAACGCATTCAAAAAAGACGTCTAAAAGATGTCTTTATAACGTCTATAAAAGTGCATCTTTACCTAGACTAGTTTTAGACGTCTATAAGTGTCTAAAATGCGTCTTGTGCTTACTGGGATATACATATATATATATATATATATATATATATATATATATATATATATATATATATATATATATATATATATATATATATATATATATATATATATATATATATATATATATATATATATATATATATATATATATATATATATATATATATATATATATATATATATATATATATATATACATATACATATATATATATATATATATATATATATATATATATATATATATACATATATATATATATATATATATATTATATATATATATATATATATATATAATATATATATATATATATATATATATATATATATATATATATATATATATATATATATATATATATATATATATGTATATATATATATATATATATATATATATATATATATATATATATATATATTTATATATATATATATATATATATATATATATATATATATATATATATATATATATATATATATATATATATATATATATATGTATATATATATATATATATATTTACTTTTACAAACTTATAATGAATCTTGTTGGTTGTTTATTCCTGTTCGGAACATTAAAATGAAGACTTTCAACCCTGGTTAAATGCGAAAACAAAAAAGTTAGTTAAGCTCAAATGTTTACTATTTTATATTAAATCCTATGGGCGAAATTAAGAAGCTCAAAAAGCATTCAATATTGTTTGTGCTGATGTTAAAAAACTGATCAAAAGATGAACTAAAGAGTATGGAATGGATTTGATAAAGGGAGCAAATCTTGCATCAAAACTTTTATTTTCGTATGTAAACAGAAAACAAAGTAATAAACCCATAATTAGAGCAATTGAGAATAAGACGATCAAACAACAACTGAAATTTCAGAAGTTGCAGTTGCATTAAACAAGCAGTTAAGTCAGTCTTTATTAACAATAACGATCAAGTAATGCCAAAATTTTTAAATAGAAGTGAAAAACAATGCAACTGCAGTAAACTTTCTGAAATGATCACTGATGTAACAATACTGAAATAGTTAAAAAGCTTAGATCAATCGAAAGCTCTAGGCTTTGATAAAATTAATCCATATAATTTGAAACATGCTGCAGCAGGTTTTGTTAATCCAGAAGTTTACATTTTCAAATTAAGTGTTGAAACTGGATGTGTACCTCACCATTCGTCTGTTGCAAACATATCACCAATTTATAAAGTTGGATCAAAAGTTGTACCTTGCAAAAACCATCGCAAAAAAGTTGCTTTTTTTGGACATTTAAACAAAAAAATTATTCTTATATTAGGAATTAGTTTTTAGCAATAGATAATAATTCAACTTGAATTAAAGCATAGTTTAAACTTTTGTAATATTTTTATTATTCACTAACATTGAAAGTAAAACATTTTTTTAAATTTACTATCGATAAAATAGTGGTATATTTTTCTGAAATAAATATTTTTTGTTTATAGAACACAATGGTCCATCAACCATCAACAAAATAATTAATATTAATTACATAAACCAAAATCCTAAAAAAATTTTTAACCAAGATGTTCTTAAATACAAAGTGATTACCAAAAAGCCAGCAAATGATGATGTTTTAATGCTTAACCATGTAAGATTTTGTGACAGAAAAGTTGAAAATAAAAAAAGTAAGTTTTGTTATCTTTAATCTATTTTGATAGTATTTATATACCTACTATTTGTAATTTGGATAATTTTCGGTTATAATGGCAATTTAACAACGTTATATTAGTAAGTATATAATAATTTTAACAACGTTAAAAGCCAACTTTATGTGATTTATAATATTATAAAATATATTAAAGAAACTATTTAAATAGTAATTGTAATATATATATATATAAATATAAATATATGTACATATATATATATATATATATATATATATATATATATATATATATATATATATATATATATATATATATATATATATATATATATATATATATATATATATATATATATATATATATATATATATATATATATATATATATATATATATATATATATATATATATATATATATATATATATATATATATATGTTTATATATATATGTTATAATAAATAGGCAGCCGTGTTGTAGTGGTTAGAGCAAATATATAATGTATATATATATATATATGTATATATATATAAATATATATATATATATATATATATATATATATATATATATATATATATATATTTAATATAATATTTAATATAATAAATATATATATATATATATATATATATATATATATATTTATATATATATATGTTATAATAAATAGGCAGCCGTGTTGTAGTGGTTAGAGCAAATATATAATGTATATATATATATATATGTATATATATATATAAATATATATATATATATATATATATATATATATATATATATATATATATATATATATATTTAATATAATAAGAATAATATAATATTTAATATAATAAATATATATATATATATATATATATATATATATATATATATATATATACATATATATATATATATATATATAATAAGAGACCTGATTTATCTTTTAATAATGCTATCTTGTATTTCTCTGTAATAAGACCGTTTAAAGTTTGTTAACGGTCTTTTTACAAAGAAGATACCTTACAGAGGAGACACCCTTGTTAATTCACCTAAATAATTAAAAATATGCAATAAAAAAACATTAACTCAACGTTGATTTTCCGTTCACTCACTCACCAGACAGCAAACAATACATTCTTGCAACGTTGAGCCAATGCATGGAGATTAGTACATTAGTAAAACGTAGCCAATTGTGTACACAACATTGGCTAAATGTTGTACACAACATTATTCCAATGTTAATATCAACATTGGCCCAATGTTGTATACAAAATTGGCCTAATAGTGTACACAAGGTTTACCAAACGTTGGCACAACGTTGTATACAGCATATCCTTAATGTTGTATAGAACATTGACCCAATATGGTATGTAATATAAAACCAATATAATTTAAAACGTTAGGCAAGTGTTATTATAAGCTATCTAAATACTGACTTTTATCAAAAAATGTTGAATATCGGCGTAACGTTTTATGCAACAATAAATTATTCTAACAAATAGATGACTTACATTGCTACATTAAAATTTTTAGAATAATAAATTCAAAATTTATTATACAAGTATAATAAATTATTATTTTAAGTTAGGGTTACGGTTAGGGTTTCTCCATTAAATTTTACATACTGCAAACAGCAAACATAAATCAAAAACTTAGATATTGAGTCTTAAGTAAAAAAATTATTACTTATTTATGAAGTTGTTGCGGTAGTGGTGTAGTGGTAGAGCGCTCGCTTCATAAACGATTGGTTCCGAGTTCGATCCCCACCACGTCCCTGGTAGTACCGCGCTCAACTCGTTTCTCCGCGCAGCGGCCTTGTTCGTCAAGGTTCGTGTTTCGGAGTTATAGAGTTGAGAGAGGGTTATAGCCACAATTAAGTAGCCTCCTCGTCTGTAGTGGCCTTCTCAGCTATGAGAAGGTGAATCAAAAAAAAAAAAAAAAAAAAAAAAAAAGTAGTTATGATAATGGCTGACCTACTAGTTCTTAAATTGTGTTTAACTATTGATATTTGGTACCCATGATTATCATCTTTTCAATCACCATCTCTATCGCATACTTGCATAAACAAAGCATATTTGGCTTCACAGCTTCTGCAAAAAAATTAGTTAATTGTTTAACTATACACCAAAGAAACCTAACAAATTCAAAGTATTTGTCTAACGCAAAATCGAAACAGAAAAACTACTTATTTAAACCTTTTAAAAATAGCAACATATGCAACCAATTTTTTTTTATTCCGATTTTTTGTCCTTTTTTTGCATAGTATAATTATACAGCTAGGCTATTTTTAAAAATTATTCGTAGTAAACAACATTTACATTGTATTTTTACATTATAAGCATTTGTTTTATAAAATAAATATTTTATAATACTGTTAAAAACTTCAAATAAAAAAATTGTAATATATTTTTTATTTAATTAACGGAAGCCAAAAAACAAAACAAAAAACGCACAGTTTTATAAAAGACAATAAATATGATTAAAATTTGTTTTTACACCTTTTACGTTGATAATAACAAGAACAGAAAAAAGCAAACCAGGTGACTTGTTTGCGTAAGGGAAACTAAAAAGATAAATAAAATAATAAAAAAGAAGATAACAAATAAAGTTAAAAAAAATAAGAAATAACTAAGTTCATTGTCAATAGTAAGAACTTTTTGTTTAAGTTTGATTTTAAATTTTTGAAAAGAAGCACTAGTTTTGATGTTGTTATTAAATTTAGAATTCTATAATTTGGGTCCTATATTAGCAAAAGAGAATTTTCTTATATTAGCAATAGAGAATTTTATGGCCATATATTAGGTTTTGGGTTGAACTTAGTTTTGATTTGAGAATCTTGTAGAGTTAAAATGATTTATTTTGTTAAAAGGTATTAAATATTAAAGGTGTTTTTTTAATCTCATTAATGTTTAGTTAGTAAACATTGAGTATATTTAACTAATTAAATAAACCTTTTGAGGTCGTTCAACTATTTACGTTAAATAATCCGTCTAGCATATTTTTGTCTACTGATTAGTTTTTTATCTTGGTTGCGATGATGCTGCTTCTAGCAATGTTCCCAATAATTAAGGTAGCAGTGAATAAAAGTAAATATTTTTAAAATATTATTATTATTATTATAGTTGTAGCCGTAAATTTACATAGAATGTACACATACAGCGATCAGGGGAAACACCCCACTATAAACAACCAGTTTTATAAATATTTGTTCCAAACTTTTTCCACAACCAGGAGTCTAGTCTATTTTTGAAAGAAAGTACAGTGGAGTACAAAGTTATTTGCTCTGGTAGATTGTTCCAGTATTTTGCTGATCTATTATACAAATGATTATATCTTGGAAGACAGTTTAGAACATACTCACGCCTTATTTTAGAATGGTGACCACGAGACACGGAGTTAATATATTTTGGTAGATATTTATCAATAACTATATCAAAACGATGTATTAATTTAAAAATTTGGATTAAATTGCATCGAAGGCGTCGAAACTCAAGAGATGGTAGGTTTAATCTTTTTAGCCTTTCGCAGTATTGAAGATGCCTCAAGCTGTAAGCCCATTTTGTAGCTTTGCGTTGAACAGATTCAACCAAAGCCATATCAGCTTTTAAAAAAGGAGCCCAAATGGACACTCCATATTCAAGATGTGGTCTTATAAATACTTTATATAATTTGAGAGCCATTTTTTCATCAATGAAAGTGAATGTCTTTTTCAGCATACCGAGAATTTGTAGGGACTTAGAGACAACTGTTTGAATATGAGCGCTCCACTTGAGGTTAGATGTAAAAATGACTCCTAAATCACGTTCTTTAGTAGAGCTTCTTAGAGATTGGTTGATTCCTTGGTTATTTTGAAGAAAGTATTTGTAATGGGGGTTGTTTCGACCGTAATGAATGACGCAGCATTTTGAAGTGTTTAGCTTAAGTAACCAAGTGTTTGACCACTCGTATACCAAGCGTAGACGATCCTGCAGATCAACAAAATTAGATTGCGATAAGGTTTTAGAAAAAAGTTTAGTATCATCGGCAAATATCTCAGAAGTTTCAGTGAGTTTTGTGAAATCATTTGTGTAGAGAATGAAAAGGAGCGGGCCGAGAACAGAACCTTGAGGAACACCACTGAGAACATCAACCCATGCAGAGCTGGTATTGTTAATTGTAACGCGTTGCTTTCTGCCCACTAAAAAAGATTTAATCCATTGTAGGAGTTTGCCGTTTATTCCGAAAGATCTTAATTTTAACAAAAGTCTGTTGTGAGGTACAGAGTCAAACGCTTTGGCAAACTCAAGATAGATTACATCAATAAATTGGTGAGATGCTATGGAGGACGAAATGATATCAAAAGTTTCTATTAGGTTAGTTACGCATGATTTATGATAAAGGAAGCCATGTTGATTTGCAGAGAGCATTTTATTATCGTTAATGTGCTTTAAAATTTTTTTCTTTACAAGTTTTTCAAAGATTTTACAGGCAACAGATGTTAGTGAAATAGGTCTATAGTATTCAGCAAGTAATTTATCTCCCTTTTTTTTATAGATCGGACTAATATTTGCTAATTTTCATTGAGTGGGTACTACTCCAGAATTAAAGGATTTATGAAAGATTTTTGTTAATGGAATTGCAAAGCTTTTGGCACATATCTTGAGTATTAAGGGATGCAAGCCGTCAGGTCCGAAGGATTTATAAGGCTTTAGATCGGCAAGTTCCTGAATAATATCTGAGATAGAGAAATCCAAGTTTTCATTATAAATGCATTCAGAAAGAATACCACTTTTATTTAGCAAAGGAAAATTTTCAGAGCTTTCAAGTGTAAATATAGATTTAAATTGAGAGTTCAGAAGATCAACTATATCAGGAAGAGCTTCAATAATTCTGCCTGAAGTATCTTTGAGAGAGCGAATTCTATCTTTAATTTTTAGTTGTTTGTTGATATATTTGTAAACGATTTTTGGGTTGTTTTGGGATTTTGATATTATTTCTTTTTCATGTGCTTTTTTTGCTTTAAATATTTCAGTTTTTACTGAACGATT